AATGTCATTATTGCAAACTTATTAGTTGGTAATTAAATTTAAAATTAAAGTCGTTTTTTACGCATAATTTCTTACAAGAATAAGTTTTGTAGCATTTTGTGAAAATATATTTGTATATTAAAATTTTTTTATAATATTAATTTATATATTTGTGTTGTAAGGGCAATTCCACGGCTAAAAATAAATAGAAGTCAAATTTTAAACTCTTTTTACTCAGTTAAAAACAAATGAATATTGACTTAGACATATGAAAGTTTATTTAAAATATTTCCTTAGTTAAAAAATAAATTTATTTCAGTAATTTTTATGGTTTCAAAAGTGACGGTTACTCTCATTTTTGCTTGATAAAAAAAATAATGATTGTAAAATGTTTTAGTTAAATTAACATTTATGTTATATTGCTATATTTTTTTGGTTCAAATTGATAAGGTTGAATAGACATTTTATTAGAAATTAAACTAAGACAGGGCTCGAATTAACGCAAAAAAATCTAATCGCCAAAAAAAAAAAATTTTTTCTTTCTTCCCCTCCCCCCCTCCCCCCCCTCCTCTCTCTCTCTCTCTCTCTTATAGCTTGCGCCGATGTGCGGTAATGGGGGAAAAAATTATCGTCAATAAATCAAAAAACATCGTCAAAAACTTAATAAAAAATTAGATACCACGTTTTTTATAATTTATTGTTTCTTGAATAAAGGACTAATAAAAGTTTAAATATAATTAAGTTTTTCATTTAAATGGTTGATGTTTTTATTCAATTTTTCTATTTCAAGTTTTCCAATAAAAGATAAAACAAAAAAATTTGGTTTAATAAATCGAATTATACTTCATGTTTAAAATAAGGCTTAAAAACCTTAAAGTAAAAAAATTGCTGGTTTTTATTAGCATTTTTATACTGTTTGAAAAAAAAAACTAATAAAAAAGAATCAACTAATAATATATTAGTTAATAATTATATATTAATTCTTTTTTATTAGTTTTTTTTTTCAAACAGTATAAAAATGCAAATAAAAGTCAGTAATTTTTTTGCTTTAACGTTTTTAAGCCTTATTTTAAACATGGAGTTTTGATAAACAAAGATAAAAACCAACTTTTCAACTTTTCGTTTTAACGACCTTGAAAAAATTTTTCACGCAGAGATTTAAGTAATTTAAATTCAAAAATGTTTTACGTTGAAAGAAAATCTCCGCGCGAAAGAGCAAATCATCTATTCATCTATATATTCAGAATAATAAATTTAGTGTGACGTTCTTTACGATAAAAACATTACTTTTAAGAATTGCTAAAAAAAATGACAAGCTAGAAAAAAAGTAATAATCAACCAAAAAAAAAACGAGTCGCAAAAAGATTTTTTTTAAGAAAAAACTAATCACAAAAGTGTAGGTAGCAATCGCGATCGCGATACGTTTAATACGAACCCTGTAAGGCTTTTTTATGAGCTGTGAACTATTTAAAACTAGTAATTAATAAATTTTTTTTTAACAACGCCTTTCAACTGAATTCTATTATACTATTTTTGCAAAACTACTTAAAAAAACTTGATTAAAACTTACCTATTTAATCACGACTTTTTTTTACTTGAAAATCGAAGTAGATATTCTAAAGTTGTTGTGACATACTAACGTGATTTTTAACAACTAACAATCGAGTTTCAATGGTGAAAAAATAAAATCAAAATGGAGTTGTTTTTTAGTGATTTCGGCAATTGCTTTTTGTTAGCATGCATTTATTATTACAATTTAGTGAATAAGAATAAAACTTACATATTTTTTTTTATGCTCTTTCATATGAGATCATATGTTAGGAGCACTTAGGGATCCCTTTAAGTCAACCTAAAAAATATTATTTTTTAGTTCTTTTTTCACTAACAGATGTTGCGTAGATTAAGTATTTGTATAGAAGAAAAATTTAAGTGATTAATTAAGCGCCTTTTTAAAAAGAAATAGAAAATTTGTTGACTTAACGATCTTAACGCATGCACATATATTTCAACTTGACGTCGTAGAAATAGTATAAAATAAATTTTATACACATATTTTAAAGTTTATTTGTCATTTTTACATATATTTATATTTAAAAAATTTATAAAAACATAGAAATATTAAAATATAAGTCTATATATTTATTATTGTTGACTTGTCGCAAGATTTACAAGTAGAATAAGTCTACTTAGTTGAATATATATAGTATGAACATATATTGTTGAATATATATAGTTGAATATATAGAACATATATTGTTGAATATATAGTTGAATATATATAGTATGAACTACTAGTTGAAAAATAACATATTATATAATGTCTACATGTTAATTTTTTTTTAAACTGGTCGTATATTATTTTAACTAAATAGTTTATCTATATTTTAAACAAAATTTATAATAAAAATATCTTTATATTTCAAACAAAAAATGCAATCTCTTAACTATCAACCTATAGATCGTATATGTAACCAGGCTTGGTCGGGAAGCGGGTGCAATCGCACTCAATAATTGACCACGGAAATTATATTTACTTGCGAAAAGCCAGCCAGATTTTTCAGGCGTTTTGAGAACATTTCAGTTTATGTATGTTTCCTTGTTTGTCCGCAAAATAATAAGTTCATTTTATTGTAAATTTTAAAAGATTTTGTTTTACGGACGTACATGGAAACTTATATAAACTTGAATGTTGTTAAACATCTTAGTGCGGAAAAATAAATAAAGAATATTCGCGAACACAAAAAACCCGCCAAATTTACGAACAACTAATTCTATTGGTTCAATTAATAAATAACTGAAATTACTAAAGAATTCAAGCGACTGTTCGAGAGTATTCTGTGGAATTATTTTTCAAAATCTTTTTTTTTTGTTTTTGTTTTTGTTTTTGTTATGTTTTCGTTGAGAATTCTAGCATGAATTGTTTTAAGAATATAATATCAAACGAACAATTATTTTAATACAATGGCTCATTCTCGGAGTTACATCCATAAAGCTATGTCTTAAACTAACATTTGTTTACAAAAATAAATGTTTTAAATTTATATTTTTTAACTTGTCAACGTTTTGTAAATATATTATAGATTTAATTAGTATAATCTTATTTTTTATATATAAGAGATGTATTTATATGTATGTAATGTATTAGAAATTGGTTTATTAACTTCAATTATTTTTGCTTCAGCCATTCTTACAAACTCGTTATACTTACACTTAAATTTTTTTTTTCAGTAAAATACTAGTTAAAGATATAAAGCCCACTCACTAAACATCATCAGCGATATTGTTAAGCAGTTCCGCTTCCTCCTTACAAAGTAATTTAACGTTTTCAGTTAATTTCTATCTAGCTAATTAAATTTCCTCCTTACAAAGTAATTTAACGTTTTTAGTTAATTTCTAACTAGCTAATTAAATTTCCACAGTAACTCAATGATTTAGTTATTTCATTTGTTCATCTTACTAAGAAGAGTTGTTTCAAATATGTTAAACTTTTCAAACTACGTGAAGCATAAAACAGGTACTGAAAAAACTTTTTTTATTTATAATTAAATTATGTAGCGTTAGTTTTATTGGTTTAATCTTGTTGGACTTTACTGGGCCGGGGGCTGCATTATTTTGGTGGCCTTTTTTATGTGCGACAGCGTAGAAATGACTTAAAAATACCGATAGGTATTTTTAATCTCTTGACTATTTCTCGGCCTATAATATTGTGTGTCCCGGGACTCTAGCTCTTCTACCCCCCCCCCCCCACCTTTTATTTCCAGCACTGGAAATAAGACATAAGTATATAAATAAAAATTATATATAATCTTTGATAAATTGAAGAACATTTGTTTCTTTATTAAACAATCATTATTAGTACGTTGTTACTATATACAAAAAATGTCTTTTTTTTTAAAAAAAAAAGTTATAAAAGAGCAACGTTTTAAAAATATTTCCTGTAATCGTATTTATTTTACTTAAAGTTTTGCGTTAAAAGCTATTTTTCTTTTTTTTAACTGTCTCTCATCAGTCCAGTTTATCTTATTGCGCATTTTTTTTGTTTTTTAAATTTTCTCAAAACGCCCAAAAAAATCTGGCCGGCTTTTCGCAACTAAATATAATTTCCGTCGTCAAATATCAAGTGCGATGACACCCGCTTCCCAACCAAGCTTGTGTAACACACGCTTTTAAAAAAAGTTATTGTTTATAGTTTTCTGCTTTTTTTTTTGTTAATGTTTTTCATAGAAATCTCTTGAGTATAATTTAAACATTACAATGGTATCTTTTTTTTTTAATTTCTATTGAACTAATCGTTACTAAAATTCATTCAAACGTAAAGTCAACAGGAAATCTGTCGACTTATGAAAAGTATCGACTTGACAAACATAGTTTGTCAACATTGGGCTGACCTAATCTTTATATATATATATATATATATATATATATATATATATATATATATATATATATATATATATATATATATATATATATATATATATATATATATATATATATATATATATATATATAGTAACGTGGTAAAGATTAGAAACACTTATTTTAGTTTTTACTGCTAAACTTTTTACAAACTTTATATATATATACACATATATATATATATATATATATATATATATATATATATATATATATATATATATTTATATATATTTATATATATTTATATATATATATATAAATATATATATATATATATATAAATATATATAAGTATATATATATATTTATATATATATATATATATATATATATATATATATATATATATATATATATATATTTATATATAAATATATTTTTTACTAACTTATATATATATATATATATATATATATATATATATATATATATATATATATATATATATATATATATATATATATATATATATATATATATATATATTAGTAAAAAAACACTCATCAAATTTGAGCTTCTAGTCAATTTATAATAATAAATTTGTGTTATGTATGTTGTTATGTTATGGTTATATATATATAACAAACTTCGTTTATCAGTTATTAGAAGCAGAAGAGGAAAAACTTAAGAATGAGTCATTTCACCATGAAGCAGCTTCAGTGTATACTCAGCTCCAACACAAAAAACTTAAACTAGAAAACCAACTTAAAAAGAGCATCAATAAAGCAAGGTAATTTTGAAAGAAAAAAGTTTGTTATATTATAAATATCTTCATTGTTAATGTTAAACTTATTATTCTCTTTTGTTAAACTATAAGTTTAACATTAACATTAAATTTAAACACTAACAACATATTTAGTATGACCTTACAGTAAAATATATAAATATAAAATTTAAAAAAAAATAAGACAACTTATAAGAAGCACTACATTACAAGTTTCATCATTATTGTTTCATCATTATATTTTTATATGATGATGATTAACGATAAATTATAAAAAAGAATTATTTTGGCACATTAGTTATAGACAAGAGCAGCAAAGGTCTCAAATTGAGTCAGTTAAAAAGGCCCTGTGGAAAATTTCAAATAAACTATTAAAATTCTTTCACTTTTTTTAATTATAACTGTAATGTTCTGTCAGGGTAGTTTCTCTATTCATCACATTCTAAAGTAAAAAATCCAAATTTAAATCTTGTTGTTCAGGATTACTAAGTATGTTTTATAATTGTTATTTGTATATGTATCAATATCTGTACCTGTTACACAAACAATGGGGGCCATTTAAATTGTATGCACTCAAAAATTTGCTTATAAAAATTGATATCTATTAAATGCAGGGCTTATTTTGATTTTTTATAAGGTCCTGGACAAATTGTCCCACCAAAAGTTATTTTTGTTGGACATTGTCTGATCAAATTTTCAAAATAAAATTTGAACAAATAAATTTCACAAATATTTATATATATTCATATTTGTTTAGTTAAAAGGAACACAGGAAAAAGATAGTTCTTTAAATGCCGAGAGTAAAAAAGTACTGCAGATGGGTTTTCTTAGACTAGCTACTGGCGTATCTGAGTTTTACGGAACTCAATTATCCAATTGAAATATATGTTATGTTTTCCCAGTTTAGTTTTTTTTAGGCTAGTTAAGTTGTAGTTTTTTTTCTTTATATTCAGAATTTTTATCATCGTAGATCTTTTTAATTTAATTGAAATAGTTTAAATTCAATACTGCGCATTTTTTTATATAGACTTGAAGTTTTATTGAGTTTTTTTCTCTCGAAAACCTTGTTAGTTTACATTGAATTACATTTCCCGTTTATAAAAGTTATTTAAATTTTTTTACTTAACAAAATATAGTATGCTAAGTGTCAATTTTGCATATAAGCTTTACTTTTAGCGCCAAAAATGTATTTATATGGCGTTCATGTAACTATTTTTATCAATATTAAAAACGGCAAGAAAGCAAGTTTGTTTTTGTAATATAGTATAATAATGTCTTAATTATAATAAGTATTAAGATGAACATATTATTTTTAAACTTTATATAAAAAATTTAAATTTCACAGGTTATTTATCTACTTTACAAAAAGGCACTCCTTCTTTGGCAGACAATTTTTATAAAGCTAGAACTTTTTAATTTTATATTATATATATATATATATATATATATATATATATATATATATATATATATATATATATATATTAAAATCTTTATAGAAATAAAAAAAGAAAAAAAATACAAATAAAGATATAGTTTAAAAAATGAATAATGAATAAAGAATCGGAAAACTCGAGTAGGACTAGGTTACTACAGAGAAACCGCTCAAGCTAAAATAGAATGATTTGGATGATCATAACGTTAATGTTTAAATGTATCTTCTTATTGTTTTTTTTTTAATATTATATTGATGAGATCTCAGCCTCTAAAAAACACATTTGTAAAATCTTTTATTATCAAATTTTTAAAACTGACAGCTTTTCTTTGCTTTTTGGTGTCCACGGCGTTTGCAGTAATCAATCAAACATACTTTGACTTACTTTGTAAAACAAATTATTTTTTCAATGAGAGTTAATTCACTTTATATAAAAAAAAAAAATTAGCTACACCAACTTTCCCCATTTTGATATAATTAAACTTTTTTTTAAGCTTCTTTTCATTATTGTAATCTCATCTTTTGACTTCTTGAAAAATATTTTACATAATTGAAATATCAGTAGAATTCAATAATGCGACATTTCTTAGATTAGGTGCTTTTTCAAAGTTAATTTGCTCATTCGCATTTTATAATATCCATTTTATGATCGTTTTAAACAAGCAATAATTTTAAATTTAATTATATAACAATTAAACTGTTAAAGAACAGTCATTAAAACTACAATTAATTATAGCGTTTTTTTGGGAATAAATGCCTCCATTATCGACATACTTTATAAGTTTGTCTAATAGTTTACATTAAGTTTAATTTTGTTAATTTCAAATCAACCAATAAAATTTTATTTTAAAGTATTGAAAATCCCACCAGACAAAATGTCCGATGACTTTGTAAATTGATCAGACAATCTAAGGTTTTAGCCGGTCAATGTCCGATGTCCGACTGTTAAATTAAGCCCTGATTAAATGACATCTATTAACTGATTAATTAACATCTGTTAAGTAATTGTTTATCAAAATTTTATATAGCTAGTTCATACATATCAATCTGGGACTTAAAATACCTCAGGTAGTCTACTTGTTAGAATTTAAATTTTTTAAAAAATAAAACTTTATTTATGAATAGCAGCTAACGGAAGTAAAACAATTTTTTTCAATTTTATTTACATTTAGAATATAGTATATTTAATTAGATAATAGAGCAAGAAAGCTCTAGAACATGTAATAAATGTTATTAAGTAAAATACATAAAACTCCCAATACCAACCGATTGTGGATCCCAAAGTTAGATTTCCATCATGCTAATTATTATTTTATGGCACAATAAAGGGGTCAGCTGCCCACTCTTCATAAAGACTTTTGTTCAGTTTTGTTGACAGCAATTGTGGGTATTGCTCAACCCATAAATCATGCTCTATTGTTCAGTTTTATTGACAGCAATTGTGGGTATTGATCAACCCATAAATCATGCTCTATTGTGGACGGTTGGTGATGGTGCATCTGCTGCAGATGTTGGCTGATGTGGGTATTGCTCTCATACCCACATCAGCCAACATCTGCAGCAGATGCACCATCACCAACCGTCCACAATAGAGCATGATTTATGGGTTGATCAACCCATAAATTTTTTTCATATTGGTTTTCCACACATTTGCAATTAATACATCTTTAGACAAGTGCACTATATTACTAGCCTATTTAATTATTAAATGGAATACTCTTTGATTTTTTTATGAGTTTTTCTTAGAAAATATTTAATTATTAAATGGGCTGGTGGCATAGTGCACTTGTCTAAAGATGTACTCTATGCAAAAGTATGCAGAACCGTTATAAAAAAAATATTTTCAATTTAAGGGTTGTTTTCCAGTAGACCATTTAAATAAGCAGCGATTTATATATATATATATTTATATATATATATATATATATATATATATATATATATATATACAGGGCGCGAAAAATCGTTTTTTTTAAATAAACGTTGACGTTCGTTTCTTTATTTATTGACGAACGTCTAATTTAAGAGGTATGTCAAATATCCAACCCCCCCCCCCCTCCTTCCTCCACACATACACTTTTTTTTAATTCTTTTTTTAATTTTTTTATTTAAGAGAAATTCTAGATATAGAGGACTTTTTTCATTAATAGATGGTTGCGCACCTCCACTTCGAACCTGTGTGTCGGCCAGAATAAGCCAGTTTTATTTTAACTTCTTTAATTTTTTTTTTTTAATTATTTAAATAATTTTTTTTATTTAATTATAAAGGAGTTTTATTTTCAAATAACTTTTATTCTAGTTAATAAGATATATAATAATTAGATATATAAAAGATACTTATCGAATTTTATCAATTTTTTATTAATTTAAAACAATTTTTCACGCATTTGCAATGTGTGCGCAAACTAATGATAACTAATAAGCATTAACCTTTTCACTGTAAACTATTATCAATAATACAAAATAGTGAATTTTTCTAAATTTAGTTTGTTAAATTATAAAAAAAAGATATAAACTTGATAAAATTTAAATAACAGGGAATTATATAAAAATAAAATAAAAGTTATTTTGACATTTTTATTTTTTAAATATTTAAAAATAATAATATGGTATTAAGCGTTTAATAAGTTATTAAATTTATAACTTAATAAGTTACTATTAAATACCTGATATGCTATTATTATATTTATAATATTAAGTTAATGTAAGTTCTATAAAATCTATTAAATTTTTTATATTTCTGCAAATTTTTTTTAAAACTTTAAAAACAGCAAATAAACATTAATTTAATGATAATAAGAAAATTCAAGAAAAGCACGCTTTAGGAAAAAGAATGTTTTAGCATGGTTCCATTTAAAGTAATTGCAAATGCATTCATTTTAGGTTAAACTTGCAATTCATTTGTAAACGCATGTAAAAACCTTGCTAAGTATAATTTTTTCTACTGTTGCATACTTAAAAGAAACGCTATTGAAGATCTTCAATAGCGCTACTTTTATTTAATGTTATTAATGTAATTTTTTTTTGTTGTATGTATTTGTTGTAATGTTGTATGTTATTAATGTAATTTATTTAATGTTGTTAATGTAATTTATTTTAATGTCATTAAAACTGCATTTTAAATTTTAGTAACTTATTTTTTTTATATTAATTATGTTTTTTTATAATAAATAAAAAACTATCAATCACATAATTATTTGGAAATAAAAAATTGAAGATATGCGTTCGTTTTTAAAAAATTTAAGCGAATGCCAACGTTTGCTTAAGTAAAAGTAAGGAAACCTGACGTTTGTTTTTCTGTCTTTTTTTTTAAAACACGTTCGCACGTTCGTCGATTTATCGCACCCTGATATATATATATATATATATATATATATATATATATATATATATATATATATATATATATATATATATATGTATATATATATATATATATATATATATATATATATATATATATATATATATATATATATATATATAATTAAATAGAAAAATACAACTTTATAATGGAACTAAAAGTTTCATGCCTATCGGCAATCTTCAGCCATATATATTATACAAATCA